AAAAATTATGTTTTCTAAATAATTTGCTGTTCGGCTTAAAGTTATTTTGTTGTAAAAACAAAACTGCTCATTCGTTCAACTAAAAATAAAAGGGGCTTCCTTCGCCTCTTATATTGTATTATGTCTTTCGACGCAAAAGATTTTAAAAACTAGCCAAGTGTGAGCCGGACTCGCCCACGAATGGTTCCGTAATATTTTATATTAAATAAGTAAAAAAAAACGTTTTTTTTTCTATGAAATTGTTCGAAATTTTCACGTAAAACACAACGAGTCGATTATTAATCATAAACTTATAATGTCAATTTAAGTGTGATAGTTTTCCTTTTAACTTAGTTATATATAGGTTCTACTGCTGTAACGCTTGAATTTTTACCAACGACCGTTTAGATGGTAGAGCGGGGGGACACTAACGAAAATTAGCTTTTCAAAACTTATTAAGTCACAAACGGTTTCCTAAACCCGTAATGTTTTTGAAAGACCTATCCTACGATGCCCTGTACTATGGGGAACACTAAAAAAATTTCAACCCACTTTACATGTAGCGGAGTGACGCTAAAAAAATTTTTTTTTGTCAAAATTTTACTTTACCACTGTGTCGGCATAATTAACGTATACTTATGGAAAATTACAACACTAGTACCAATAGTTTTTGAGATAAACCGCGACCGGACAGACGAAAAGACCAACAAACGGACATGGTGAAACTATAAGGGTTCCTTTTTCTGCGGAACCCCTAAAAATATGAAAACCAGTTCACTAATGTCAGAAAAATCCATATATAAAAAATATAGGAATATAACCTCTTTTGGAGAGAGCTTAACACTATTCACTAGACTGTTTAACAAAATAGGTGCCTATCACATAGATAATTGTCTGTCTACGAGCTGTGTTTACATGAGCACGCTCCATTTGTGTATGCACCTGTACCGATTTCTATAGCCAGTTGCTGAGCCAGTTCTGAACTAAACCGGAATTATATGATTCCTATAGATCCTTGTCTTCGCCAAAGTAGGTTTCTATCTAATTAATTAGTTTGTCAAACCTACTAAATGATTAGGTATTATGTCAGAGAGAAGCTAAACTTGTTTAGAAATAATATAGTGTTGATAAATCTTCAATGAGTATAACTAAATTAAAATCTGTAATTCCCTGTGTCTGTTAGGATTTTAATGCGTCAGGAGAGATCTTAATAGAGTCCCAAACTAGGGTCGAATCTTGAACTCTCATTAGGGAGCGCCATTTGGAAAATATATTTTAGCCCACGGCTTCGCCCACGTTCAATTTAATTTTTTCTTCTATTTCTTCTTCATGTAGGTCATATTTATTTACTTCCTGTCCAGTGCCCAAATACAAAGTTTGATGTTTTTATCTTCATACAAATTTTCATTAATTATTTCAACTCATTTAAGTCTTTCTTTTATTTCGATAAAACCTATTCTATATCCTTTCACTAATTTAACCATAAAAAGTAACAAAGGGAGAGTCTTTCGCATTTTAAATATTAAAATGGATTATCTGTCTATTGATTTCATTATTATATCGATTATTTTCTAAATACAAAGACTAAAAATAATGATTATGTTTACTTTGATCACTTTAGGCAGTTTAGTAGTGCTGTATTCAGCTGCAATCGAATTTATATTAAAATAAAAAATCAGTTGTGATAATAAGTCCCAACGGAGATTAATTACCTACTTTAAAAAACGTAGGCAGTACAAGGTATAAAAAACCCGGCCTTCAGAATAATACTAATTTCGATCTAAAAACCATATTTCATTTATTACTAATGATACAGGAATAATTTTATATGATTACTGTTATTTAATGAAATCTTCAAAGGCGCTAAATAATACATTTTTTTAATAAAATGTAGTTACCTCATTTCATTTGAATAATTAAAAATAATTTTACAACTCTCTATTCACCTAAATTACAGTATAGCAGTGGTTTTGTAATATAAAATAATAGATTGTTGTTGATTTTAATGTTTTGTCTAAAATAACACTTTTATTTTTAAAGCGTCAAAGCTGCCAAAGTATCACGTGAGATAGAGCAGTGAATCATATAGGAAATTCGTCAAAAAACAAAACAGTTTTATTCAGTTCATATCTTAAAAATGTCAATATCCGTAAAAAATATTCTTTTATCGTAATCCTGCTACATGTGAGTGTATTAATTTTTTTGCGGTCTCATCGCAGTGCGGTTAAAGCCTAAGGATGTAAAATTTGTATAACCGCAAATTTTTTAAATCCGACACTACATCATTTAAAATGAATATTTACAAAACTAATTAATGAAAGTTGTATTATGTGAACCTTTGGTGGACTGTAGATATTTGTGGTTTGCTTTTGTGATACGATAATGATATATCAGTTGAAAATAATGTTTGGTTTATTTGCTGACTCGCATATAAGATAATTATCGACTTATTACATGCATTCATATGCCAATAAATGTAAATTATCTTGTACCAGCAATAGTATATAACTTTCAGTTACCTTTTATATCACTTTTATATATACGTGATATTGTCAACTGTATAAAATCACATTCAAATATCATATGTAGTGAAACGGTTCATTACCCTGCATGAATGCTAGAAGCTGTACGTCTATTCAAATATTTATTATAAGCAATAGACCAAATCATTGAAATATTTGATGGCACTCAATTTCAATGAGAATTCAATACAAACAAACATTAAGATTGTTAACAAACAATGAGCGATTAGAAGTCACAAGAGATTTGTTTGAATTAATACAGTGTGGAGATTTGAAGGGGATAAATAACAAATGTTGATGTATAGTCTGTAATATAATATTAAATAATCGTAAAGTGTTAATAAAGTTTGAATCAATAAACCAGCAAAAAGGTTTTTCGAAATTGCAATTATCCAGATTAAAATAAAAAAAACGTAAGCTTAAGGTTTGACGTAAATTTACCAATTAATAAACAAAAAAACATGTTATAATAACACTGTGGAAATGAATAATGTTATATGAAGAAATAACAAGTCTAGACACTGGCTAGACACTTCTGTTACTGGCTGTTTACATACATTTAAAAAAAAAACAATAATTTGAATTTCGAACATTAGCGTTTACGATAAAAATAGACTTCTTTCCTGTCATTATTGTATGTATTTTGTTTAGAAATTATTTGTTTTGAAAATTGAGTGGGGTACTAAAGAGAATAAGATTGCAGTAATTGCACTGTAAAGTAGGTAAGGAGCAAGCCGACATTTTTGATACACTGAAAAAGCTAGGGATTAGCCGAATTTTTGTGTATCGTACCATCCAAAGGTAGGCTGAAACCATGTCTGTTTATGACCGTGAGAAATTCGGCCAGCCGCGGTCTATTCGAACAAACCAGGCCTTTAATGCAGTCAAGGCCAAAATTTGTAGAAATTCCACAAGGAAGCAGAAAATCTTTTCCAGAGAAATAAAAATCCCACCAAGGACACCTTCTCGGATTATCAAACAAGACTTGGTCTAGGGGCTTACCGGAGATACACAGGACATACCTTAAATCAGGCACTAAAACAAAAGAGAGTCAAAAGATCAAAACAGCTGTTACTTCGATACGCGGACGAAAAACATAGAAAAATTTTCTTTACCGATGAAAATTTTTATACAATCGAGGAGCGCTACAACAAACAAAATGGTCGAGTGTATGTACACAGTTCTAAAGAAGCTTCCGAGGTAGTGGCTAAAGTTCAGCGAGGCCATCATCAGGCATACGTCATGGTTTGGTGAGGTGTCACTTACCAAAAAAGCTCAATTTTAGCGAAAAAGGTAAAGGTACGGTTAGTGAAAACTTCAGCCAAAGTGTACCAAGATACCGTGTAAACGGTAGTTAAACCTCTCAACAACACCTTATTCAAAAAACGAAGTGTGGACATTGCAACAGGATTCAGCCCCGGATCATAAGGCGCGCATTACCCAAATTTGGTTTGAGCAAAATGTTCCAAACTTCATAAAGGCTGATGATTGGCCTTCGGTTAGTCCGGACTTAAACCCTTTGGACTATAAATTGTGGTTTGTGCTAGAGGACATGGCCTGGTCTAAGCGTCACCCAAATATTGAGTCGCTCAAGAACTCTGGAGGCAGCAGTGACCAAGTTTCCAATGGAAACCGTTCGTAAATCCATCGACGAATGGCTCGACCGTTTAAAAGCATGCGTTTAAACTAAGGGTGGACACTTTGAATAACTACTTGTAGTTTAGTACGGTAACATATCTTTTTCACTCTACATAATCATTAATCACATATAAACATTAAAAAAAATTTTTTAAATTTATCGGACATTTTCTTTGTAACAGAACTAGACTAGGTAGTATAGTTATTTATTATGATTTTATTTAAAAGGATCTGACTGCTTATGCATTTCGATATACATTTATATATACATATTCAGTAATTCGTATTTACGATCATCTGAATAACTTATGTGATAACAAGAGTCCAGTCTATCTTTTGCTTTAATAATAATTTGTACACCATTAAGTTATAGGTATAGTGATAAAGGTATTACAACTACATATTAAACTTTGCAAAAAAAAAACAAGCTAAACGCATCTATCCATCACCAGCCCTTTTACGTCCCCACTGCAGGGGCTCAGGCCTTCCTTATGGATGGTTAAGGAGGATGGGCCATGACCCTCCACGCTGGCCCAATGCGGATTGGAGGGTATTAACGACTGCAAATGCAGCCGGGACCAACGGCTTAACGTGCCTTCCGAAGCACGGAGTAGCTCGAGATAGTAAATTTTTGGTCACCCATCCCGTGACCGACCCTTGCGAAAGTTGCTTAACAACAACGATCGCGGGCCGCGGCGCTTATCCACTACGCCAACGAGCTACCAAGCATCTATATTAGGTATTATTTGATAATTAGGTATTGAACAATTTCTACTAAAATTATTAAAATGAGAATCGATTCGAGAATAATTCTCGTTTTTAAAAACTACTAGTACAAAAAGAAGAATAAATATCATTTACCTGTCCGTAATCTGAGGGTCTCATGTCCAAAGCCTTAGGTCGTAACTCGTATCTATAATCTCGTTCTGCATCTTCCTCGGCAGAATGCACTATTATAACCAAAGCAGCCAACGTACTCAGCAAAGGCATGGTGATTTTCCAAGTCATACCCATATTATAACCGAAATACCACAAAAATATCCAAACGCAGATTTATTCGACGTACACACTAAACGCACAAACACTAAGCACTACTGAACAATGCTTCGATTAATTTCTGTATATTAACTACACGATGGAAGCCGAGAAAATAAGTATGAAAAAAAAAGAATTGAAGATAAGGAAGAGGAAAAAGAAAAAATATCAAGTTCGATCGCACACTTGCGTTCGATGTTCGATTTTCAAAAAAGCCTCAATTAGAATGCACTATGTATGAGGTTTTATTCTTCACATCATAACTATTTGTAAACAGTCCTATACACGCGGCTGTTGATTCTCGATGAAGAAGCTAATTATGTTACTGGCTGTTTAGAGTCGAGAAAAATGCAAGATTTCTCGCGTCGATTTTCCCGCGTTTTTTTTGTGTTTCCGAACGTGAAAGTGAATATGAATGGCGCGGTGGTCGAGACTTGTGCTGTGCACACGTTAGCGCGCGGCAACCGATGCGTCGGAATGACTACCAGAAAATGGTAATGGCCGATGTCAGATCGTCCGCTACGGTCATATTTTGATTGTAACATTTGTTTAGAAAACATTATCGAATGCAGGTACCTATAGTCAAATCTATTCTCAAATCTGTGGCATTTATAGAGCAGAATTGAATCGATAAAATGCAGAACGTCATACTGGAATATGCATATTGCATAAGATTGATATGCATTCATCTTAACAACATAGAGCTAAGAAAGCAGGTTGGCTTGTTTGTGATATTTGTAATAGAGGCGTAACATATATTAAATTCAGTGTAACCGAATTATTCGATTCCATCTAAGATGCAAAATGTTGAAGATATCTCGTATTATACTTTATATACATAGATATCACTTTATTGTATACACTAAAAATACAGAGAAAACAAAACAAACAAATATACTTAAGTGTCACAATCGGCAGTCTTATGAGTACATAGTGATCTTTATTTAATATTTTTAGATTCGAACAACATGTTATGAGTAAATCAGCAAAATGTTTCGCATCTGTAAAGACTCTTCATAAGATAAGACCTTTTATTAAAAAGCAAACACGCTTGACTCTTTGTAATGCTTTTATATTGTGTCATTTGAATTATGCGGATATTGTGAACAATTCCATATTATTACGATAGTATTACGACGTTATCAATAGCTGGCATATTCTAATATTAAGTGAAAGTTTTCCAAACATTCCAACATCGCAAATCTTTCGTTTACAGAAGTTTCGCGTTACAATCACCAAGCATCCCTTTCCATTTAGCAATAAATTGATTCCAAAAGGTCTCCAAAAACGAAATTTCAAAACGCTAACATTATTATCTTCGTTTTAGACTTAAGGCTAAACAAGCTTCACAGTTGATGGGTTGTTTGCCCCATGGAAAGTTGCAGCATTATCAGAATATATTATAGAAGGCATGTTGCGTCTAGATATAAATCTTTTTAAGGCAGCTAGAAATGCTTCTGTGGTCATGTCAGATACAAGTTCAACATGGACAGCCTTAGTCGAAAAGCATATAAATAATACAATATAACCTTTTGAAATTAAAACCTTTCTTACACGTGACTGCTTTATTTGAAATGGGCCCCCATAATCGACACCAACTATTTCAAATGGACGGGTTGCTGTGACTCTCTGTTGTGGCAAAGAACCCATCAACTGTGAAGCTTGTTTAGCCTTAAGTCTAAAACATACAACACACTTATGTATTACAGATTTAATTTCTCTTAAACCATTGATCAGCCAATACTTTTGGTTTAAATAACTTAATATAAGTTTAGGCCCTGCATGTAACAGCTTAACATGGGCATCATAAATTATTAATTTTGTTATATATGACCCTTTCGGCAATATTATTGGATGCTTTTGAGAATAGGGTATAGATGCATTTTCTAATCTGCCACCAACACGAAGTATTTTCCTTTCATCTAGAAATGGATTCAATTGTAACAAATTACCTTTTACTGGCTGATCCTTTGCTAATCTATGAATTTCATTATTAAAATATTGCCTTTGTTCACATTTAACAATTACTAAAGTAGCATCATTAATTTCCTTGGCATTTATTACACCATTGTGTCTTTCATTTTTTGGCAATTTACAATTTTTATAAAATCTATATACATATGCAACTACTCTTTGGAGTTTTAAAAAAGATGAATATCTATACAATAAATTTATTATGAAATTTTTATCATATGAATCAATTGTAAACAAACATACATTTTTAATTTCAGGTAATTTTTCAACTAATTGGACAAAGTCATTAGAATGTTCATAATCTTTATCATGCATAATTTGTGGTCCATGCCACCAGAGAATATTTTCTTTCAACATATCAGGATCTAATCCCCTAGAAATACAATCTGCTGGATTAGATTGTGTATTAATATAATGCCAAGAATAGTTTTTACATGAATCTCTTATAGATTTGACTCTATTAGCCACATACACAGATAACCGTACAGGTTCTATTTTCAACCAAGACAACACTACTTGTGAATCTGAATACAAGTAAACATTCATAACTTTCTTATCAAATTTTAAACATATACATTTATAAACCTTTTTTATTAAAATAGAGAGCAAGAGTGCACTATTAAGCTCAAGCCTAGGTGTTGAAAGTTGTTTACCAATGGGACTGACTCGAGATTTTGAACATAACAAGTTCATACAAACAGTACCATCTTCTTTTACAATTCTTATATATATACAACATCCATATGCATTATTTGATGCATCAGCAAACCCTACTATTTCAATCTTAACAAACTTAGAAACACTAATGTTTCTTGGAATAGAAATATATGACATGTTAATTAAACCAAAAGCAAATTTTTTCCATTTATGATTTAAATCAAAGGAAAGTGGAACATCCCAATTAATATTAGCCTTCCAAAGCTCTTGCAAAAATAATTTTGCTTTAATTAATATAGGACCCAGTATTCCCAAAGGGTCAAAAAACTTACTAATAAAACTTAAAATCTCTCTCTTAGTATAAACTTCCAAAAACTTTTGTTCTGGACAAGTAATATCAATATTGTCTGTTTTAATATTGTAATGTAAGCCTAACGTTTTAACAGACATATCATCAAATGCTAAATCAATATTTTCTAGCTGCTGTCTTTCAGCAGGGATATCAGCCAGCACTTGCGGTGGATTCGAACACCATTTATGTAATTCAAAACCTCCTAATCTTAATAAATCTATTAGTTCATATTTTAATTGACTCAATTCATCAACATCATTAGAAGTAAAATTTACATCATCAACATACGTTTTATTTTTGAGTGCAGATGCTGCTAATTTATATTTATCACTAAATCGGTTAGCTAACTCTAAAAGACATCGAGTTGCTAAATAAGAAGAAGTTTTTAAACCATATGTAACAGTTTGAAGCTGAAGGCATTCAACAGGATCATTAGGCGACTCTCGCCATAAAATATTTTGATATTTGCAATCCTTTTCATTTAAATTCACATTTCTAAACATTTGTTTTATATCACTTATAAGAATGTATTTACCTAACCTAAACTGTATCAATATATCAAATAAATCACTTTGTACTATGGGACCATTGAGTAACATATCATTTAATGAAATTTTGTTTTTTGTCAACATGCTACCATCAAACACTACCCTTAATTTGGTAGTTTTGGAATTTTCATTAAAAACTGGATGGTGCGGTAGAAAATAAACATCTCCCCTTTTAAGGTCATATTCAGATATATTAATTACTTTTGCATGCCCCTGTTTAACATAATCATTAATAAACAATTTGTATTTTTCAAACAAAACTGGATCTTTAGAAAACCTTTTTTCTAAATTATAAAATCTTTGCAATGCACAAGATAAAGAATCACCTAAATTAATTTCCTCTGCAGGCAATTTAAATGGCAAGGAGACTTCAAATTTATTATTATTTAATTTACAAGTTTCATTAAAATATTTCTCCGCCAATTCCTGTTCAGAAGTTGATTCAAAAAAGGTTTCATTGACATTTTCACATTGCCAAAATTGTTTTAACTGTTGATGAATAGAGTCTTTACAGTAACCACATGGCTCTTTCTTTTCAGTAATATTAGACTTAAAATTTAAATTAAGAAAATTACAATATAATTCATCTTGCCTCGGGGCCTTACCCACAACAGCTCCTCCCACTACATAACCTAATTTGGTATTTATTAGGTATGGGCCGCTAGGTGACAGCGGTATGCGCTCCCTCAGCAACACCTTAAAAAATACATCACAAGCTAAAAGCATTTGTACCTGTGCTGGTGAATGAAAACTTGTATCAGCAAGTTGCACATAAGGTGGAATATTCATGTGGGATATGTCTATGTTATGATGAGGCAAGGTGCATGAAATCTTCTCCACAACAGAGCAAGTGACAGGCAAAGCAAAGTTAGACTTGGTGCAAGCATGTATTTTAAAGTGAGCGAGTGCATTTAAATTATTTGTGCCTTCACAAACACCCACTACTGTATGTGACTCAAAAGTAGTCAAGCATTTTATTTGGTTAGCCACTTCTTTAGTGACCATAGAAACCTCACTTCCAGAATCTAAGACTGCCCGCACAAACATAAAAGAACCATCCTGTTTACACAATTTTACTATAGCAGTTGGTAAGAGAACACTTTTATTTTTAATACTATTGAAAAGTGATACCTTTTTATTTTCAGCAGTTTCAGGATAATGAGCTGTTAAATTAATATTATCAATATGCAACAAAGTATTATGATCACCCTTGCATTTAGCACAACGAAAGCCAAAATAGCATTTTTTTGTATGGTTATTTAAACACAGTTTACACCTATTTGTTCTTTCTATGAACTGTATTCTCTGTTTGACAGAGCTAGTTTTAAATTTCCCACAATTATAAATTTTATGAGAATCTGACTGACAATACTCACATGATGATTTGTTTGTAAGCAAGCTTACAAGTTGAGGTCTGCTAGCTGTAGCTCCAGACATCCTTTCTTGCC